TCATCGTTGGAAAGTTTCTAGCTGCAGCCACATTCTCCGCGTAGCAACGACACGCTTCAACACCAACACGCTTTGACACGTCTGTTGTTCCATGATCCAGCAGCTGGTGCTCATGTTTAAGCTGCACCTCTCCAGTAGCTTTTCCACTGGCACTCCAGCAACTTCTTCAATCGCCGCTTCCTGCCAGAAGAACTGAGGCGAAAATCGGAGAGTCGGAGACCCTCCAAATTTCCATTGGTTGCCAGCCATCACTTTGTTTTCAGCAATGAATTCAATTCCGGACGGCGTTGAGGCCCTTGCCAGCAACAGTTTTGGCAGCGCCGCGGCTTGAGCCTGCGACGGTTTCATGGGTTTGTTGCCATTCCAAGCCCCCCATTGAACTGTAGATATGTCTACCATCAACAAACCAATTTAAGTAATAAGATAAGTGAACACATTACATCACATTACATGAGTTGTATTGGTTCCATCAAGTTGTTTTTTTTACACAAACCAATTTAGCTAATGGCATCTGGGACAGTCTCCGGACGAGAGTCCGTCTTTGTTGACGATCCACAAGAATGAACCATCCCAAAGTGGTGGTTTATTGGGTATCCCCTACAAACGATGAAAATAATACCAAAATGAATTGAAATGGTTGATACTTGGGGATGATTTACTATCGTCAAATCAAATATTATACCCATGTCTATGGCGATGTTGGGGTCACCATTTCAGGAAACTTCCATATTACACCCGTAGTTTTCAATTTGATCCTCGTGTTTATACCGTACAATATGGATCACTATTTTTCAAATTACTTAAATATACCCATACTATCTACCCATATACCATACTATGTATCAAACTAGAATCAACTATATATGTACATGTACATATAGCCTCGTCCAGGCTTCTGGAACTGCGTAAACCTGAATTAGGTTGGTAAAACTTGTCCATTCCGTGACGAAATTTCGTCGCGGAATTAACAAGTTTCATTTGGGTCATGTTCATCATCATCATCATCATCCTCATCATGATCATCATCATCATCAGCATCATCATCATCATCACCATCATCATCATCATCAGTATCATCGTAGCATCAACTGCTGCCGCAAGTTCACATGAACGTTAACATCCCACCCCACCCCCCCCGCCGCGTGTGCGTAGCATCAACTGCTGCCGCAAGTTCACATGAACGTTTAACATCCCACCCCACCCCACCCCCGCCACCCCGCGTGCGTAGCATCAACTGCTGCCGCGTTCACATGAACGTTAACATCCCACCCCACCCCACCCCCCCCCCACCCCGCGTGTGCGTAGCATCAACTGCTGCCGCAAATTCACAGCGTGTGCGTAGCATCAACTGCTGCCGCAAGTTCACATGAACGTTAACATCCCACCCCACCCCCCAATCGTATTCAGGTTTACGCAGTTCCAGAAGCCTGGACAAGCCTACATATACATATCCATATACATATACATATACATATACGTATACGTATACATATACGTATACGTATACATATACATATACATAATATACATATATAATCACATATATATATATACCATTATATACCACATTATACTGTACTATCCAATCTATCCCCTACCCACAAAAAAACCATGGGAACTGCGCCTCCACTTCTGGCGCCATGACGCTCCAGGCCGCTGCCGTGGCTGGACTCCGATGATCCTGCCATGCTGCTGTGGTCCCTAGGCAAACCCCGCGGGAAACGGAGGAACCATGGGTTTAACCATGATAATATAGGAAATCTCATGATAATATGGGTTAACCCATGATAATATGGATTAACCATCTGATAATATGTTAAAAATGGGGAAATCTCATGGAAAAAATCCGATGGACCATATTTAATGACAGAAATGGGATGAAATGGGGCTTCAAATTATGAAACAACCCTTTCCATTCTCGAATTTCAAGCCCGAAAAAATGGAAGCATCACCCAAAAGGCCAAGCAATGCGCCCGCACCGGTGAGTTCGGGGGAACTCGGTACGCGGCATACTCTTCGAAGGCCTGGACGGTTGGACAATGTTGGACAAAGACCGACCGAAGCTGCTGAAAGCCGAAGACCGACCCCACCTGTAAGCAGTCTTCCACCATGCTTTCCTAATTCAAAAGGGCTGCATCAAGATCATCAAGTCATATCAATTCCAAAATTTGCTAAAGCTGGGAAATGCGATCAAATTTATTCAAAAGTATCAACAAAAACTTACAGTGTGATACATTGTGGTCTTTCTGGTGAACCTTGCAACAAGTACAAAGCGCCTTCAAGTCTGGTATGTCAATCTCAGTGTTTTCGCCTGACGTCGGCATATTCAGCTGCACTCGATGTGTCTGTTGGTGTGTATGTGTGTGTGTGCATGACTGCATGACCTCATCATTTGCAATGTTCAGACATTTTTGGACAAAGAAATGGAGCAAAGGCGGCATAAAAGTGATTCCACTTGGCCAGATGTCTATACACTGCCGCTTTCGCCACCCACCACACATGCTGCCTGCATACCATGGGCGGGAAACCTGCACCGCAGCTTGACGAGCTGAAACTCTCCGGGATGATGGCACCCCTTGAAAAACCCTCCTGTGTCCATGAAAAAATCCTCCAATTAGTTGGATGAGTTCCCCATATTTCCCCCTTGAAAACCATTGAAAACCCCCACGAAAACAGAGAATTTCCCGATGTTTGATGAGTTTGATGAATTTTGATGACACCCCCGAGGTCAGTTTCGCCTCCCGAGGGGATTTGGGCGACGCACGGGCCACTGCACCTGGCCCTGGCGTCACCTCCCGCAAAGGGGAGCTGGGAACAGTTCCACCTCGCACGGGTACATCCCCAAATGGCAATTTTACCAGGGAAAATGAAGGAAAATAAAATATACCCTTCAAAATCTTCAATAGTTTCAGACAAACCCAACTTTGCAAGTCGGATCCAGTCGACTTTGAGATCTTGACGACAATGCTCTGCAGGCGGACCAGGGCCTAAGACTTCAACCAGAACTCTGTGGTCTGGAACAAAATCTAACAAACCATAACAAGTCCAACATTGTCTCAAAAAAAACATCCCAATATCCCAATGTCATACTCCACAAATTTTCATATCCCAGCGGTCCCAACATCCCACTCGCCAAGGCCGGATCTACGCTGCTGCTGTGCAAAGTTCACCTCAAAAAATGGTTGAGCACAGGATTCCCCGTTGATTGTGACATTCCCCGGTATATAACGGTTAGTATAATCCCCGGCCCGATATTGGGGAACTGTGTAATATGATCTACAATAATTGAATAATAGTAATAACAATAATTAATTCTCAATAATTATTCATAATCATATCTTATATAAAAAATAAATAAAGATAATATACAAATCCCCTATCATATCCATTCATATCCTATAATCATCAACCAACCAGGGTTTTGTGCAACCTTTTTATCAAAGTTCTGCGCCTTCGCATTGGCCTTGGGCACTTCCTGTCATGTTGAGAGTCAAAAAAACACGTGGCATGTTGCGGAAATTGCACACTGGCACTATGTTCTCAACGGCGCCAACTTGTCGTTCCGGTGCGTGGGAAAGTTCTTCCCAACAACGCATGGCGAATCAAACGAGCCTCCGGCACATTTTCATCGTGGGCCTCAGGCATGTTACAACTGCTCCACAGGGGTCATTGTGCAATTTCCAGCAGAGTATCTGAACCCATCCATTTGGAAGCAACCAACCATGTTCACAAAATCCGTCCAAATTTGTGTGACCCATAGTAGATAGGATTTACACCAGTGTGACTGTGGTGCAACAACATGACTCAAACACCGCATGCACATTCTGCATACCATGTGCCACCATGCTGATTTGAGAATCCTAACACGTTCAAACAGAGTTGCAATATTGGATCCTGTGCAAAACGAATCCAACATCCTGAAAAACAAGGTTTTGGAACAATTTGATCTATCATGATCTATCATATGGAAACCAGCTGGCCCAAAAGCCTTGCTTAAAACAACCAACATACGTCGGACCCGGGGCCTTGTCGACCGCCGTCTTTGGCTCGCGCAAGGCTTTCGCCTGCTGCCATGCGGCCAGCTCCGCCCGCATGTTGCGTTTCCCTGCGAGTTTTGACGCAGAAATGGCGTCATGGAAAAGAAACCCAAAAAAAAAGGAAAAACCTCTACCACAATGGGATGAACTACTGTTCGATTTTCTGAAAGGAATTACTATATTATATGACTATATTTGCGTAATTTCTCGTTCCATGTCAAAACATGCCCACCTCGCATGTGAAACTCCGAAGGGCCATGGCCGCTACTCAACTGCAACATAGACATAACAAACGAGGACGAATGAGCACCTGCGTGGAAACAACGCACTGACAACCCAAACCTGTTGCGGTTGTGAAAAGCCTCTCAATATCTTGGCGAAATTGCTGCAAACCATCATACTGAAGCACCGCTGCCACACATGTTGGAACAGTAAGAACACTAGTGCAGTTCCCGAAGTTCACACACAAGCGGTTTTGAGCACATGGAAGCATGAAAGACACAACAACAAGCGCACTCAGCAAGGTGCTCAGTGTCATTTACATTCGGGACAATGCACTCGAGACAAAGGATACGCCAAAATTTCACACAGTTTGGGAGTGATGGGGGTGGCTGAAATTCCCATGCTGCAAAAGACACCCAAGCAACAAAGGCAAACGAATATTCTTCATATGGTATTAGAATTGGAGAAAACCACACCCTCCCCACACCACAAAACTTACCACAATGATTTGTGATTGAAAATGACGTTTTGCATCGAAGCACTTTCGGGTGCATCATTCTCTTCAGCATCATCCTTGGGTTTGCAGCAAACCGCCAACTCCATTTGGACAAAATACAGAGGCAAATATGGTTTCGATGGTGGGAAGCACCCTGTACACTGCCAATTTGCCAAGCAGAACGAATGGTCTGTCGGAAATGTGCAAGTGCCATAGAGAATGCAAGCGTGACAAGATGAGCCGCCAAAGGCCAATTAGCTTCAAATCCAGTGATGGAATTCCAGGCAATGCCTGCAAGTTGGGAGCTGTAGATCAAATCTAAAATGCACTTCTCAGGGCTCGTACAAAAGTTCCGTTGCCTTTACCTGGCATGGCTCTCCTTGCAAAAGGAAAGGGATGATGCCTTTACCGGCCTTTACCATCAAAATTATTTATCACCATGACAGAATCACCAATCATGAACACACGGACTGCTGACCATGGTTTAATCTGACTTGGCCAGCGCAACGCCATGCCATGTTGTGGCAATTTCCACTAATCTTCTGGAGGCTTTGTGACGCAGCACTGGAGATGAAAAAACGTGGGTTTCCTTGTTGGCAGTGGCACGTTGCATTTTGCATCGCATTTGATTGTGCTCACAGAATTCCAACTCCTGCCACGATTCTGGTGCTGCTTTCGTCCCGTGGAAATCGATTGGGGATCATCCCAGGGATTGAAACTGAACATTGGGTCAATATGTTGCAGATGGTGAACAAGAAGAACATTGCTGAACATTGCTGAACATGTGTGCAATTTTCAGGGCTACTGCATGTGTCATATTGCTCACGTTGGCTTGAAAATGGACAGATCCTCCCCTCCCGTACCAATTTTGTCCCCTTAAAAATGCGTAGGTAATTGTGGTGGTTTGTGGGGTTCAACGATGTTCAACGTGCTTCCCAATTTCTTGGCTGTGGCACCCCCTTACCCCAATCCACTCAGTGTCATCCAACCTCTAGGGCTCAGCTGTGAAAATGTCTATCAAGGCGGGTTTGCCTCCGAAATGTGTAGCGACATAACACCGTGCGTAGTCAAGAAACAGCGATGCGGACACCAAGAGGGAAATCAGACATCAGGCTGATAACGGCTGATATGTCACAATGGCATGAGAAACAAACAGAGGCACAGTGGGAACATGGATGGCCTTGACAAGTTTCACTCTGCACCGGTGTGACTCCGTGGATTCAAAACAGCTGTTCATGCATTTGAAACTGGCAAATTCGAACATGTGATAACATGTGTGAATCACCCAAATCGCGAGCACCAGGGTTACAGCAGCTCAGGGCACTGGTATGACATTCTAAAAACTCATGTCTTGCATGTCCCGATTGCCTTGATATTTACACGGCAGAAACCTACAAGAAACCCTCTCAGCACCCAAGAGTTCCCCAAGTTACATTGTGCACCGTCTTCCCCGTTCAACCAGCGGTGTTGCACCTGGATATGGATCTACTGAAGGCCTCTTGGAAGGTTGAGAGGTGTCGGGTAACGACCTCCTCAACGCACCGCATACACACTCCACTGGTCGTTGGCGTGATGGCAGCGGCCACATCTGGCCATTGGTGGGGAGCCTTTCAAATCTGGCGAGGAGTCTGGATCACGAAGCTCCTTTTCATGCTGCAGACTCCTCGCCAGAGGTGACGGCGGACAAAAAGGTTCCAAGGCCGTCAGCCTGGTCTGAACATGTTTGAGCAATTCCATTAGCAGGGCAAAGGCTTCTGGCCGCAGTGCCCTGCTTAGGCACAACAATCTTCATCACTCCAATAGCCGTGGTTGTTGACAGCAAGGAGCTGCACGGACGCAGCGGCCCAAAGTTTGAAGGTGATGATGTTAGACGTCATCGCCTTCCAACTTTGGCACGCTATAGGCCAAAATGCCTGCCCACCAAAGCAAGTCAGCAAGCCAGTGTAGCCCTTCAAATTCCAGACCGTAACGTCAAACTCTTGACACATGCATCAAGTGTTAATGGCGGTCCCTACACTTCAAGGGCATGTCACAAGATTGATTGATGAAAAGAAAGGAAGAATAAGGAGGATCTGAGACAACCTTGCCCCTTAAGTTCCAAATCGCGACCTCCCTTTGAAAGCCTTGACCCATCTTGACAAATGCATCAAGTGCAAATTGCAGTTCAAAGGTGCATTCCAAGATTGGATAAACATGCTTGATGTGAAAGCATGTTGAATGCGGAGATTCTAACATTGATTGGCAAGAAGTGGAATACTCTGGAATTACCCTGGAATACCATCATTATATCAAGACTGGAATAGCTGCTTTCCCGTCAAATCTGTCCATCTGCCACCAGGTCAGGAGAGAAACATGGCAGGTCCACCCGAAGGAAATTCTTCCGCCCGGGAATCTGGAGCTGCATCCCTGCAAGGTGGCAAAACTTGTTCGGCTCTGAAGCAATCTGGCCATCTGTCTCTCTCAATTGCACTGCGGCCAGAAGATATAGACATAATGTTCTATAATTCTAAAAGTATGCCTTCCTCATTATCTAATCACATCATTTGTATATGCAGTAATCATAGTTATACAATAGTGCATATCGCATTTGAAAATGAGAGAGTCGCTACCATGATTCGGTCCCAGCCGTTCTCGGGGCTATGAATCTCCAAAGGACAAAGCACATCCATGAGCACAGGATTGCAGGTCGGTGGATCCGTCCATGGCTTTCCGTGGCACACCGATTTTTCCAGAGCACTCTGCCAAGTGCGTCGCCCCCATCAGGCTGGCTGACAAAGTGCTGCAGTTCGCTGGAGTCATTGCATCCCAGAACTGCCAGTCTGTGAAATTCTAAAGTCTCAAGGTTTGGCACATTTCACAACAAGTGGGCCGTGCTTGAACACATGGAATCCACATCAACACCCAAAAAACATCCAAAAACTATAAATCCAGTTGCTGTTGCTCGAAACACACTGACAAGCGATTGCAGATGCTTGGGGCCAGGGATGGGTCAAGTTTCAAGCCACAGCTCCACCTCGCACATGTCACAAGCATTTCGCTGAATCTAGCCCTTGAGACGGCGCTTGTTCGCGGTCCTGAAGCTGGTGCCCATACCTATGGCCTATGGCAGCCTGACCACTACTCTGAATTGGTTCTTCTTTCAAGGGCCTTAAATACCTTCCAAAGTGCTTAATTCAGTACTTCAATACTTTCTGCAAATTTAACTGTAAATTCAGATATGCTCAGATAATATATTCCCTTGCTTTCAGCAAGATGAACCCATGCATATTGTGGGTGGGTGCGCAATATTTCAACAGAGCCATTATGTCCATTCTCTGTAATTCTCTCCCTCCATATTCCTTCTCTCCATACCTCTCAGCACGTACCAGGAATAGAAGATGAAATATCACAACATATCACAACCCAGCTCAACCCCTGGTCCTGGGCTCGCATTTTCGCATCAATCCATTTGGCCTCGTGGGCCCTGTCGGCCCTGTCGGCCCTGTCGGCCTTGTCGGCCTCACAATCAAACCTCGGCACAGCTGGGATCGAGGCGCAGGGAGGGACCGGCTCCCACTTTGCAAGCGAAGCAACGGGCTCATCGTTGCCGATGGGTCTGCTCGGTTCACAGCCTGCCTGCAACTTTTTACATGCCAGCCCTACACAGGCGCACAACGCACTGAAAAATTAAATTGGACCTTGACCTTGACCTCCCCGTTATCCACATGTTATCCACAATTCACATCTGAATGCAATTGCTTATCCGCATTTAGGGGGATCGTGCAAGAGGTCAAGCCTCTAGGGATTTTGGTTGCTTGGGGCACTTCCCAAGTGGTGCAGCACTCCTCCACTGCGGCGAGCACTTTGCTTGCTTCAAAGGCTGGTAGGCCTCCGAGACCTCTCTCACCACCTGCTTTGCATAAGAGCAATGGAGGCACTTGAGGGATCGTGCAAATATGTCGACATGGCACAGGAGAGGCTGGGTCAATTCAGAACATACGCCCCGTGACACTGGTCTTTGCGAGTTTCACATACGATTATGTGTTGGTCGTAGAATCGTAGAAGGGTGTGAATCTCTCAAATCAAGAGCATGAGGTTGCAATGCAGCGGCGGGGCCGTGACTCCGATATGATATTCTGGATGTCCTGACTGGCTAGCGTGAGGAGGAACATATTCACACAGAGACCTACAAGGAATCTAGCAGCAACTTTCAAAACAGTGCGGTCTCTAGACAAGAATTTGAGGAATCGCACGGCGCAGTAGCTGTTAGTTTCAAGCTGCGATGTTGCACCTGGGTATGGATGAGCTAGCTGAAAGGCTTCTTTCAAGGTTTCAAAGTGCCGGCAAGCGAAGGTCTTTCGAGCGCACCACTCGAGGGCACACTCCACCGGTCCTCGGCATGATGGGATTGGGCATGGGATTGGGACGAGTTGAGGCTTAACAAAACTCCCCGAAAATGCCCAGCAGACGATCCGGAGCGCATCCTTCCAACGGCGTCCCAAAGTTGTTTCAGCTGCTGCTGATCTTTTTATCTGTATATAGACATCGGATGACATCAGCATACATGGTGATTTGTTTTTTGCTTCTGGCCAAGCAGGATTAGAAGAGGTCAAGTTTCGAGCATAGGGCATGGCATTATCTGGATGGCTCTTTTTGTGCACGTCCATGCTCAGGTAGTGCAGCATCACGTGGTCGTCCTCGTCCACTAAGGCTGGGCCTGTAAACTTCTGTTGGTTCCTGAGCTCAGCGGCGCAGCTCAGCTGGATGTGACTGGACGGTGGCTCCAGTCGATCCCCGGACCCTTCAATCGCAGCTGAGGGGCTCCAGGATCAACAGCAGCCTGGAGGATTTCCCAAACTTGGCCCTGAGCAGCTTCATCAATTCAGGCACTTGCAGCACTTCCTGCGATGTGAACTCGAGAGACCCATTCATGGAGAAACCGACCTGATCGAGAAGAAAATTAAGAAGAAAAACATAGAAAACACGGAAAAACCCTGCATGCTCAACTTTCCTGTACTCTCACAGATGCATCACTGCCACGATCATGTTCTCGTGCGACACATTCGATCGCACAAAAAGGAGCTGGGGGCCCTCGTCGCTGTTCATCTCTCCCAATCGAGAGATACGCCGGTTGTACCGCTCACACCTTGCACTTTGTGGACGATCCCTTTCAGGTCCCAAAGTCCCAAAGGATCTGTTCAATCTAAGAGAAAATGGAAAGTCTTGGCAAACTGTGGATTTACGGTGGTTCACGTGGATTTACGATGCTTATGTCTATGTATCAATTCCATGTTTTGCGGTGTCTTACTTCAATCATGAAATCTGGGCGTTCCAAGAAATGTTACCTCAAGCAGAACCCAACAAGCACAGCTTTTTCAGCCAGAATCAAGACACGAAAACAGCAAAGGAAGGGCAACAGACGGCAACAGAATACAAAGAAATTCAACAACATCAGCACCCGGACATGCATGGATCAGTGGGGTCATCGTGCCAAAAGGAGTGGTAGTAGCCGCGGAACATCACCTTGGATCAGGACGACACAAGACCTGAAATGAGAAGATGCCCTGGCTGTGTCTTCAAATGTTGGGGCCCTTTCTCCGCTATAGCTTCAAGATAGTTACAGATAGTTCAAGGTGGCAGTTGGAAATAATTGGAAAGTCAGAACGCAACGTCAAATCGAACTATTTTTTTTCCCCTCTGGTACGGCCGATCACGCTCTAAGGCTCGGTCCTTACATGAGAAGAAGCTGTTATCAAGAAAACTTCTACATGGACACAGGTGGTCGCATGCAGCGTGGCAAATCATAAAAACCAAAACACAAACCACCAAGAACAAAAGGCAAGACGCAGATCCCCCAGCCAGATTTGCGTCTCACCATCCAAAGGACAGCAAAGCAAACAGCGAAAGGGGCAAGAGCCCAACAGAAACAACCACAAAAGAGATTTGCCAAGGACACAGTTGTAAAAACCCACTGTGTCGCAACTGACTCAAAAACATGCAGCAAACGAATTAGTTGCCACCCAGTAAAGTGAGACACGCGATCTATGTTGTTGCCAACAGGACAACAAAAGGTCGCATTTGCTGTACACTATCGCCTAACCCAGCCTTTCAGAGTCCTCTCACAAGTACTTATTCACGTGCCCATGTTCGAAACAAGAGCAGGTACCATAAGGCGTAAGCAAGAGCAGGAGAAAGATGACATTGGCGGCCAGGTGTCTTTTGTGCCCCTCCCCATTGCGGGGAGCGGCCCAGTGGCTACGACAATGCGGTCACACAGGGCCAGGTAAGTGACCATCCGTCACAAGCCACTAAAACATCAAGTGCGTCTCAGGGTGGACATGACTACCGTGCCAAGTCGAAAGGGAGAACGTTCCTGGCACTATCAAGCATGATCAGCATCAACGACATGCTTGCCGTAGCTGTAAACTCATCACCAAAACATACATTGTCACGGGGCGCCAAGCTGAAAAATATTTGCAGAACTGTTCAGGTGCTCCCTGGGTGTCTTCGTCTCAGCAAAGTACCTGCAGTGCATTGCACCATAACAAAAACAATGAGTCAGCCTTGAAATTCAAATAAACACCACTCTCCCGACGAGTGGGCCAGCTGATTAACCTCTGATCCGAAAAATGAAAACTCACGAACCAGACTTTGCTGCTCACGGGCGCCCCGGGCTGTCCGACAGAGAGTACCACTGGAACGCGCCAGTGTTACTCGCTGCAGTGCAGCCTAGCCCATGGCTCCGGCCAGCTACATGTTAACTCCCCTTACTACAAAGGACAGACCACCAGACAAGGACAGGGCCACAGGACAGCCAAACCAGAAAGAACAACCGAAAAGTTTGACTCACCTTCAAAAGAGCAGAATTCGGGAACGGCAGAGTGTCAGGGTGGTCCACGGGTATGTAATGATGGGGGCGTGGGATCTCTGCAGGCCTCAGTCACCTTAGTCGCCTAAGCAGGGTTCAGTTCTAGGAGAGGGACAACCGATAACTTTCGAACAAAACACAAACAGAAAACAAAGAACAGCGTCACACAAAACCCCAACAAAGGGAAACTGTAAGAGGTGGGCGAATAACGCACACCGACACGTCCGGCTACCATATCTGAGCACACAACCAAGAATAGTTGACAGGAGTACCTAAGAAAAAAATAGCAGTAGTGACCAGAGGTACAGGTGCACCTGTCCAGCTACAAGTACAATTACAGTACATAAGTAAAAACAACAGTAGGACCAAAGGTACAGGTGTACCTGTCCAGTCTGCGGACAGATGCACAAGTACAAGAAAACTAGACCTTAGTTGCTGGGTTTGGACACTACAGGGGAACAACAAGAAAGGTTTACTGTGTGGCTAACAAGAAAGGTTTACTGTGGGGCTAGAGTGTGCACAGAGGGTTCTGTTTTTTTCTCTAGTATGGCCGATCACGCTCTAAGGCTCGGTTCTTACATGAGAAGAAGGCAGTTAAAATAACATCTACGTAGACACCTGTGGTCATGTAGGATGGCAAATCAAAAGCACAAACAAAACACCAACCACAAGAAGCGAAACGCAAATCCCCCAGCCAGATATGCGCTTCGCCATCCAGCAGAGAGCGAACGGGGCCAGGCCCAACAAAAACAACCACACCCCTCAGCTGTTACCTTACCAACACCAATAACTGACATTTTTGTGGTCGGCGCCCGTTGCCTTTCGGCGGGTCGTACTTGAGACTCCCGAGTGGACCAGCAGGGATTCGAACCACCACCGGCAGTGTGTCAGCGCTGGCAAGACCAACGCCATACCAACTGAGCCATCGGGTCGCCTTACCAACGCCAATAACTGACAGCCCTTTCCTCCAGGCACTCGGCACCCCAACGATTCGGATTGCCTCGGCACGAACAGGAGAGCTAGCCCAAAGGGCAAGATTTGCCAAGGACACAGTGGTGAAAAGCCACTGTGTCGCAACTCACAAAAACGATGCACAAACAAATTGGCTGCCCAGAAGAGTGAAACACGCTTCTTAACTGTTGTTGCTCGCAGAGAACAAAGGAAAGCATTAGCTGTACACCATTGCATTCTGGCCCCTTAGAGTCCTCTGACAAGTTCTTGCTCAGGTGTTCAGTTCAATACGAACTGCATTTGCCGTGTACCGAACGGTGGGTTCAGGAGCAGGAAGAGTAAGTTGTTGGCAGCCAAATTGCAATTCCACCGGCCCCCTCTCGGGAGCAGCTCCGTGGCAGTGGCTAGGACGGTCACACAGGGCAGGGAAGGTCATAAATCCGTCACGCACCAAGTTCATCGCTGGGCAGAGTTGCCGTACCAGGTTGAAGGGGAGAAATCCTGTTACAACATGCAGAGTCACCAAACCATTGTGTCATGACCGGCCTGTGGCCGCAACTGGAAAGCAAATTCTCATTTTTTTCCGTCCAACGCCTTCATGGCTTCCGCCAGGTCGTTCAACATGTTTAATAGCATGTTGCAATTGGGGTTAATTGATTAATTAAGTCGCGCAAAGGCCGGTGCTGTAGAGTGGCCGCAAAAGTAAACTGGTGGAGGAACTGGAAAGCAAATTCTCGTGCATAGTCACAGGGTGCCAAGTTGGAAGATAACCTGCAGAACTGTTCAGATGTTTTCCGAGTGTCTTCGTTTCAGTGCCATACCTGCAGTGCATTGCATCGTTGCAGCCAAGGGTGAGCTAAAGAATCTAGAATAAACTCCACTCACCCACCGAGGGGGCCAGCTGGACACTACCGACTCGAAAAAGAAGTCCCGATGTGCGCAGGCTTTGCTGCTTACGGGCGCCCCGGGCTGTCCAACAGAGAGTGCCACTGGATCGCGCTAGTGTAACTTGCTGCAGTGCAGCCTGGTCCATAGCTCCGGCTTAAATCCTACTCCTCTTAGAGAACAAGACAGACGTGCCTGAGGCTCGGTCCTTACATGAGAAGAAGCTGTAGTCAAGAAAACATCTACATGGACACAGGTGGTCGTGTGCAGCAAGACAAATCAAAACAACCACATCGGGAGGAGTGGGCCAAACCGACCCCACACATCAAAACCAAAGACGAGCAAAGCAACCGAGGAGGGAAAAACAACAGGAACCAAAGCTAACACGACCCCGCAACACCACAAGAACGCGCAGAGACCAAACGCCCGACACACAAGGACAAATAGAGCAGGTCGAAGCAAATAACAGGCCGAAAGACGGCCCCAGCACACCACCCGGAAAAAGACAACGAAAAAGGAGAACACCTAAGAGACAGAAGGCCTACCAGACAATCGCGGAGAAAGGAGGCCAAGTGCACCTGTCCAGTCTGCGGGCATGCACGCAAGCATGCACAGAAGTGTAATAGAGATCAAGACCTTAGTTCTGCAGTGGGAGCGCACCTGTCCAGTCTGTGGACAGACAGACAAGATTACTTTGTTTCTGCAGGCGACCCGATGGCGCAGTTGGTGTGGCGTTGGTCTTGCCAGCGCACAAACAAAAAGCATGATACCAACACACAAAGCAGTAACGTCAAATCGAACTAATACAGTCAAGTACTTTTGTAATTCGAAGACGTGACCAGCGAAAACTCAAACAAGCAAAGACATGAAGCTCTGGTAGGTCCAGGTAGGGCCCTCTGAAAACTAACAAATCACTTTGCCACTTCGCTTTGTCTTTTCAGCACTGTTCAGCTCTGATGACAAGTCCGGGGCACAAGAAAAGGTCGACCCATTTCATCCCAAAAAAGATGCTGGCCGGATAAAGTATGATAAAATGATATATACCAGGGGGACGCGAGCAAATGATGTGGACGATCATCTGCCATTCCATCAAGCCGGTGTCGGGCACCCGTTGCTGGGTCACGAAGTCAAAGAATCCCTCAAAGTCGTTGCCTAGCTGTTGGCTCAGTGACTGTCCAACGGGTTGTGTGAAAGTTTGGTGAGATGTACAGTGTACTGAACCTTGAATCTGCTTGAACATCTTTAAACCTATTTTGGAACAATGCATGTGCATGCAACACGTGCAAGAGGGAGTCTATTTTGGAACAATGCATGTGCATGCAACACGTGCAAGAGGGAGTCTTCTCTAGGAAACTACGCAGGAGAGCGCCAGACACCGACCTGGTTGCTTTTCAGACTAAATGCAATGAGTTACGGCTCCTTGCCGCAGGGGCAGAAAGGGCGAACCCTGTCTCCTTTGCGATTGGGAACAGCTGGAATGACACTCTCCGTGCGGAAAATTCAAACCCAAGTTGGTTCAAAAATCCTTTCTACGTAAATCCCAGGACCTACACCTAGATGCAGTTCCTACAACCTACGCACAGCGAAGTTTACGCAAACGCGGTTCCCACACACAAGCTCTCAGGTTCGGAGCAGCTCAACCCTTTTGGACGCTCTCTCAGAGGTGCTGTAGCAACAAAAAAACACACGAACCAAAGCAACAAGCAAGACAAGCAAGATGGACTAAACCACGTGACTGTCTCAGACTACTTCTTTGCAGTTTCCTTGGCTTTGAGCCAAAAGCAACCATACAGCTTGACTGCAACAATTGTTTAAA